TCTTATTGCTTCCCTCGCGGGAAACTCCTTTATACCCAGCATTGTGCGTCGGTTTGTTGTAACCGACCTCACTGGTTGCCTGCCGATCACATCAGTACCGTCACCAGATGAGCTTCTTGCTCACTATGAGGCACTGAAAAAGGCAGTACATGAGCTCATAGATGCCTCGGTTAGCCAAAAGCAGGTCACCCATGAACAGGCACAGGAGTGGAAGCGCGATATTAAGCCCCAGCCCTTAGGGGACGATATCTTAGCGCCGACCTTTTGGCACGGTGTTGAGAATCTCAAGGTCCGTAAACCAGCCGTCGGCCACAAGCCGTTCGCCAGTGTTGATTGGGCGCCTCTTTCCAATACTGGTTTAGGGGGAAGCGGCTCGGACTTCATTCATGAGCCACCTGAAGCCATACCGCAACTTTTGGCACAACTGCCGGCAGCTTATGAGGTTAGGCTCCGGAATCTCTTCCAGTCCTTGGGGGTCCCTCTGGGCACTGCTGCGTATGTTACCACATCACAGATCCTCTCCCAATTCTTTAGGTGCAGTACCCTTCGGAAAATATCGGGGGGAGTTCGACCCACAGATGTTCTCGTACCCGGGCGTTTGCAAGGGTACCTTTCGGCTTTTGCTTCCGCTTGACGAAATCCCCTTGGGGCTGCAAGCACCGCCCACACTCCCCACACTCCCCATCCAATCCGCCTTTTGCATGCGGCCCTGATGCGCCTCCGGGCGGCTGCTACCACCCCTGGCTGAGATCTCAGTGCAGTCGTGGTGTTTTGGCTGAGGGGGCCCCAGAAAAAGGACTTTTACTTCCCGGTGCGCTTGTGGCGCTATGCCCATCTTGAAGCGTGGGACATCAAAGCCCAGGTTCTCATTCATCACCTCGTGGCCCAGGACTCGGGTGATAAGACAATGTCTGATGGGAGCCGTGCTTGGTGTCGCCTAGGCGACCCCTGGGGCCAAGATCGCTGGAAAGCAGAAGCTGACGCCTTCTTGGCGCAGGGTGGACTCGGCCCTGGCATTCAAATCCCTTTCATATCCTCGGAACTCATGCCGCATCTCCATGAGCCCGATCTGGATATGCACAGGTACAGCTTCCACCGTTTGCGTGAGATGTATGCGCAGCGCAATTTCCAAATGTTGTACCTTCTGCACGAGTCCCAATTTCCGCTTGGCGGCAACGACATGCAGCGCTTGCTGGATGCTTGGCCGCCGCAGTCGACACTGGACCGCACCCAGTAACAAGAGGCGTCTGCCCACATGCCAGCGCATTGCGACCGCCGACATACGTCGTTGGGTCAATTGCTTCGCCACAAGCTATAGGTCTGGATTTGTGGACTTCGTGTGCACGATCGTGACACAACAGGACTCCGGGGCTGACCGTTGTTCGACGGAACTAGAACGGCGGCCGGAGCTTTGACTTTGGGCTCCACCGGTAGTCTTGGACAGCTTTGGGCGACGGCCTTCTGCTGTTGTGGATCGGTCGCTGAGGCCCCGTAGTTCGTGCTGAACGGCCAACACCGGCAAAGCCTGTGCGCCGCAGCTAGCTTTTTTGCCTTACTTCTAGGGCCGCCTGTTTCACCGCTGTTTTTTGGATTTGGTTTGTTGGTTTGTCTCGTTTGTAGGGACCGAGTGCTACAGCCGTAGTCGACGAGGCCCGCTCACGCCAAAAAAAAGCAAAAGTTGGAATCCAGCGTTCCGAAACAATTTTTTTGGCGTGAGCGGGCATGAAAGACAGTAGTTGCTGCACTCGGTACGACAAGAATGAGAACAAAAGGGTGAAACCGGCTGCGACTTGCAGATTCAGCCAGCAGAGATCGTGTAGCCCATCTTTTCTCAGGTGCCTCGCTTCCCAATGATTGAGCCGCGCAATGGTACACTTGAATATCTGTCAAATGGGCAGCAAAGGATGGCAGTGTACAAGCATCCATAAGCAACATGTCCTGATTTAGAAAATTTAAACGGCCCTGCTTCCCAATATGGTGGATCTGGAGGTCGAAAATAACATGCCGGGGTCGAAATCAAGATGGACCAAGCGCGCAGTCTGAAAAAAAAAATTTGGGGTCGGAAAAAAAGGAGCACCCGATTTCTGGAAGGATGAACTGTCCACACACAACCGAAGGCTTCGAAGGCTTGACATCCCTTTCGACGCCTTCAACCCCTCGAAGCCTTTCGAAGTCTTCGTTCTTGCCTTTGAAGCGAAGTTGTCGTTTTTCCAAGGTTTGCAAGCGTTGTAGTGGAGTTGTGGTGGTTGTAAAAGTAGCAGTTCTGTTTTTGTTCGTTTTATACCATGACTAGGTCTGCTTTCGCAAGTTTTCCGGTGTAAATCTTTTATTTTCATTTTTTTAGCCACCCTAAACGTTTTCATGCGGCTGTTGTTTTTTTTGGATGGGAAGGACGTGATTATTCGGTTTTTCGCGGCATAAGAGCGAGGAGTTTGCAGTCTAAAGAAGAACGGGGGGGGTTGGGGGCAGCCCCTCCATTTGCAAATCTTTCCAACATAGGTATTTTTTGCGATATTGTGTGCCTTTGGCCTTCAGAAGATTTTGCATTCATGTATGATTATCTTTTGTTTTCATGTTTAACCCCCTTAAACGTCTACGTGTGGCTGCTTCTATATGATGGAAAGGACGTTGTTATTTCGCATGATTCGCTTCTTCGCGGTACAAGAGCGTAGCCCCCCCCTTTTGCAAACCTTTCCAGCATAAAGTATTTTTTGCTATGTTGTCTGGCTTTGGCCTTCAGAAGATTTTTCATTCACGTATGATTATGTTTTGTACCCCCGTGTGGCTCTCGCCTTTGTATGCGAGGGAAAGGATGTTATTATTCGCATTTTCGGGTGAAAATGAGGACATATGGCCATTCCACTTCGTTCATGACGATGACAACTCAGCAAAACACAGTACTGATGCCACACGCCAAACCATGCTCACGAAGTGCTACCTTTTTGCTCACCGTATCAGCGGGCGCGCCTAACCACGTGACCGGGCCAGTGGTTTCCACACCCGTCCTATGCCATGGCATCATCACGCGCACTGTGCACGTCATCGGTTTTTAGAGGCGTGGTTTTGAGGTCTCCTCGCCACTGCCATCGATAAGAAATTTCATCTCGGAACTCTAGGATCTTCTTTACTTGTACAGTCCTTTTCTTTCTTTACGTCCCAGACACCTCAGCTGTCGGACTTTACGGGGCATATGCGGTTGCAAAGGCAGTTTCACGTTTCGCTGTCGGGCTCTTCGGAGCACAGCACAGCATAGCGTCTGCCTAAAACGGGGAGCCCTCCTCAAAGGAGGAGTGACAAGCTCACAATCGCCCGCATGACAACTGACACAGTTGATGCGAATGAATGAAAAAAACGATGCTCCTTCGAGAAAGGACACAGCTCGCCTTGCCACCTTGTCACCTTGAGGCCCTTCGTGCGTAGGGTGTGGAGGGCCCGATGTGTCAAGTCTTGTGCTTCTGGGCATCGCTCCGGTCGACTCAGACTTTTGCAGACTCCCATGGCAAAATGAAGGTGTGCGAGTGAATGAGCATTTCACAATGTATATTCTTGGTTCGGAATATGTCTCTTTATTCTTTGTTTACTTAGTATTTTTATGAATGCCCTTACATATTTGGGCGCAAGGAATCAAGAAGAAGCAAGACGAAATACACAGAAGGTACTACGGTTCTTTGACCCTGCAGCTGGACAATGTCCCAGTTTTGTCCCGCCCGCCCAACCGTTTCTTTGTTCACTTGTCGGGGTGTGGAGGGCCCGATGTGTCAAGCCTTGTGCTTCTAGGCATCGGTGCGTCTTCGGTCGACTCAGACTTTTGCAGACTCCCATGGCAAAACGAAGGTGTGCGAATAAATTTTGTTTACTAAGTATCTTTTTGAATGCCCTTACGTATGTACGGTGCAAGGAATCAGAAGAAATAACCGTCATTTCTGTTGCCACTTGCCGTCTCGGAATTTGAACTTCGGTGATTTCCCTTGCTACTCGCTCGCTCCGACACCGTGCTCATGTCCAAATGACGAGAAGACCCCACCCCTCGCGTCGTGCCATAGCGAGTCGTTCCCCATATTTACGTGGAGCCGGATCTTCGGGAGACGTTCTCTGTCGATCGGAGATCTCGCCGATCACACCACCCATGCCGCGCCGCCCACACACACATGCAAACATACGCACGCACATTGCGACACGCGACACACACATACATGCAGACCTACATACATACATACATACATACATACATACATACAAAATTATATATATATATATATACACATACACATACAGACGCACCACCTATTGTATGTCATAATTAAGTAAGTTATGCCAGACCTACCCCGTGTTATGACGAAGTTGATAGATTCAGATACCGAAACATTGTGCCGAACACACGTCCCACACAAACGTCGCCCTGCTGGCCTGTTTCCCGAAAGCTCTGCGAAAGGGTTCTTTGCAACAAGAACATTGCATTCTTGCACCACATGTGCTTGCACTACACGCCTATACACTGCTTGCACTTACACTGCCTGCTTACATTCTGCCTGTCTATCACATGCTTGCACTACACAGGTATACACTGCTTCCACTTGCACTACCTTCTTACACTTGCATGCTTATCTTTGCCCTGCTTGCTCTCGGGATAATCGCCGTCTAGTTTCTAGTAAAGCGTGTCGTTTTATATGCAAACCGGTTTCTTCTTGTAGAGCCTTTTGCAGGCATGGGGTGAGCTGGTTTCACGGCCGGTGTCGATTGACCGGTGTCGAGGAAGTCAGATGCCGGCAACCCGTGGTTCGGCCCAAACCGCACCCCCACCGCTTACTAAGAGCAAAAAAGGGGAAGTGTTTTGTTGGGAAGCGCGGCGCGGATGACGTTTCGAAGATGTGTGTGGAATCCATCTTTTCAAGTAAATTCCCGTGCCGCATGACAATCGCCGCTGGGCAAGCTCATCGTGTAAGGCAACTCAAAGTAATCGGGAACATGGAAGTACAAGGAATGTCCCCCGTGCCTTGGCCATGAATGTTGCGGCATTGGAACTGGGTCCGCAGTTCGAAGCTAAGTTGCTTCGCATGCAATATTCCGACGACCATGTTCCTGGAGCTTCCGCTTCGCGTGGTCGCATGTTTCCACTCAGGCCAGTTCTTCTCAGCAGCGGCCATGGTTGGGGCAATGTAGATCACTTAGCAGAACATCAGTTTTGATGTCAATGCTGTGTGATGCATCGAGGCCTCTGTGAAGGCATGTGAAGCTGAGGTGACAAGGTTTGCTGGCTTGAGCTTGGCAAAACTCGCAGAGTTGAGGTGGCGAGACCGGGCCCCAGAACGTGCTAGGACTGTTTCCAGAGTGGTACATGTCTACAGTGACGCCGATGTACGGTCGATTCGGTTCTGAAACGGTTTCACCGCCTTTGCCTTGAGACTGTGCAGTATACCAACGGTGCAAAGTATAGAAAGAAGTTGTGGAATGAGCCAATGTGTCATGGCCATTGAGGCAGCATTACGCCTGGTAGCTTGCATCAGCTGAAGAAGGTTGATGCGTGGTTGAATGTTGCAACGATACTTGTTCTTTGACGGCCGTGCCTAAGCCCCATCAAAGCACTTATTGACAAGGTGGGCAACAGAAGGCATCAGCTTCGAACTTGGTATGCAAGCACAGTTAACATGTGTTTGTTCAGGCCAAACTGCAAGGTGCATCCGCGTTGTTGCCCGTACCTCATGCTCGGAATGCCCGTGAAGTTCGTTTTCAGCGTGACCTTCAGGAAATAAGCCCGAACAGTTGTTTGCTTGTTCTTAGGCGATGTCTCCACCGATTGCAAGAGAGGCGTAAACGACATTGTGTGAAACTGAGCTGGGCTGAGAGGCACAGTGTGGCACCGTGAGTGGATACATGCAGCTTGCCACTTTTGGTGCTGAGGTTTGCTTGTCCTTCGGCATCACACAGCTGTCGAGGCTGTCAGCTCGGCAAAGCACCATGCTGATGAAACGTTGAAGAAGCAGCGGCCTCAGATTTTGTCAGCACATGTTGTGCGTCTTTTGTCGTTGCACGTTGCATCCACTTTCCGAACTCGGTGCCGCATCGGCTTTTCACGTCACCCGGACCTTCGATCGGCGAAACGTGACGAAACCCGTATGTCTCCAAACTCTCCAAGTCCCAGCTGAGCCACATTCCGATGATTGCTTGGTATTTGGTTTTCTTGTGAGCAGGTGCCCTCGGTTGTGTGAGGAATGCTCACGTTAAGCCCCACAAGCTGCCTCCGACACTGTTTCCGGGCGACTGAGATTGCGAATGATGGTGGACTCCTTTGATCTGGAGGCGCACTCTGTCAGATGCTGTCTGAGCGTGTTGTTAAAGCGAATTTACGATCAAGGGCCTGTAGGATTTGCCGTGAGGCTGATGACTCTGTGGAGGCGATTTGTCGCCAAGTTCTCGATGAGGCCTCTAAGAGAGCTGCTGTGAGCGAGCCTTGATGACGTGATTTATCAGGACGATGAGACCGTTAGCATGGTCTCGAAGCAATGAAAGTTTCACGCAGCCATGTTTGAGAAGCATCAGTGAAAAGCGTCTTTGCTGTCGAAGGAAGCGAGGGGTTGAATTTGAATGACAGCGGTATGCTCAAAGCCGCTTCGCCTGCAAGCTGCTCAGCTGCTGCAGATGTGCAAGTGGAACAAGCAGAGGGAAGCCACAGACTACATCTGCAGACGCATGACAAAACATCCGTGCTCATGCGAAGCCCAGACTTGGATGTGCTCTTAGCCAACGAAGCAGTGACTAGCATCCTGTTTGAAGGTGCTCATTGTGAGGAGTAAAGGTTTCCTGTTTATGTGTTCGTTGGGGCAGCGGCGCCTTTCTTGGTGGCACTGGGCTGAGACACACAGGGTTGGGAGCGACTGTTGCTGTTCAGAGATCTGTGTCATCCATTTCTCTCAAAGATGCCTCTGAGATCACAGGCCTCGCTGCGGGCTACGACGCCTTTGAAATGGATTGGGAGGCTCGAAAATATTCTCTTGAGTACAGCACAGATCGCAGCTGAGCGGAGTTCGCTTCGATACTCTTCAGGCCATTTCAGATGATGTGCTGTCGGGTTGCCCAGCATTCAAACCAAATAGCCGTGTTTCGGCAGTACTTTCGTTCAAAGATTGCTTGGCTCAGGAGGGAAACGGATGTCGCATACGAGCAAGAACTTCAAATAAATCCATACAGCGTCGCTCGCTGAGGGAATGCTTCAAAATCAAATGCTTTCATCATCTGGTCTTCACCTGGCTTTGAGGTCAGGCTGTGGTGCGCTTATGTGAAAGCAAAGGCGATGGCACGGAAGCGAATTTCTGTCTGCTTTTGACTTCATGACATGAAGGCTTCCCTTGAGCCGTCAAGTTGGCTAGGCTGAGGCACCCCGGGCAGTACGCTACCTGATTTACGAGCGTGCGGTGAAGGACTATCATCAGACGTGCAAGCAACTCGTTGGACGTCCGTTTATTTGCTCTCTTTCTGGTGGAACGCGGTTCGGAAGGGGCGGATGGAGATTGCACGTAAAGCCACGGTTGTAAGTTAAACCTGTGGTTGGATTGTCACCTCAGGCATGGCTTAGGTAAATAGCACAACGGCTGAATACTCGACATCGCAAGCGAGATCTTCCAGTCAGAGCAACCGAGAGAAAAAGCGAGTTGAGTACACATCGTGGTTCTGCACCGTTGATACCGTTGAGGCGCAGGGCCTCATTCAAGCAAGCACCAAGCATACTACTTGCCGTCCTACAACTTACAGCTCCAGTAGAACATGGTGTTCGATTATGGCAGAGGCATAAGCATATCAACCAGCAGAAGGACATCGAGCGCTGAAGCCACGATTGGACAAACAAAGCAACAAGCTGTGCACCTGGGATAGCTTGTTATCGCCAGAAACAAACAGCAGGATTGCAAGGACACAAAACTCCAAGATGGCACGAGATGGAGTTTGCAAGTTTCAGTATTGAATGCACAGCACTAGACTCGAGGGACTAGCATCCTTTAAGTCTGTTCACGAAACGCCGATAGTATCTTCGCGAAAATGCGTGTATCTCTGTACGACTTTGTTTTCAATTTCGTTTCGGGCTTAAGTTTTTTTGCTGGACCCGTGTCAAAGAAATCCATAGGTTTTCGAAAACTCCAGGCGATGCAACCGTTTTGGTTCCAGGCGGTTAGGCCATTGAGCGGGAATAGGCAGCATGCAAAAAAATCACCGGTTTCGAAACTCCTTTGTCGGATTTGTTTTAGGTTGGATCGCCATAGTTGGGGTTAGTTGGCAGAGCGGTTTCGGACGCCATCGTCTAGCATGTGAAACAAGACCACAGGCTTGGAGACATCCCGACAAGCAAGGCAGACCGAGCTAAATGCGAAGCACAACGCAACAGGTGGGGTAAGCACACACTTGCATTGCCGACTGGTACCTCGTCAAACAGCCGGGTCCTTTTCACCCTCGTGTATAGCGCCTTGTGCATATCTGTCACCAGGTTACATTGTCTTTCCAGAACTGCCGGATAGCCATCAAGAATAAGAACAGCGTTCTGTTGCAAGCTGGGTGCCCCTGCCTGGGCCAAACATGCAAATGCCTCTTTCGCTCTCTCTCTCTCTCTCTCTCTCTCTCTCTCTCTCTCTCTTTTTGCACTTGCCAAAGACATGGTCGTGCGGGCAAGGACGCTTTTCTTGGGAGGTGAAGGTGGTGAATGAAAAACAGCCACTCGCCGGCGAGAAACCGGCAGACTTCCCGCCGACTGCAGCGACTCTCTTCCGTGCAGGGGTTCGGAAGACCCTTCAGGAGGGAGTATCCCAACTTCCACACCCACGAGAATTTGTTGCCTGCGGAACGAGTGAAAGACAGAACGACAGGAAGACTCTAATAGACTCTAATGAAGACGCGGGGCACAAACGCGACAGTCCCACAGCAGGATGTTTCATCCGGCTCAGGAGCTCCCCGGCTCGTACAAGCTGTGGCACGCTTACCTGCAGTCGGAGCCTTGCACGGAGGGAGTCGCAGAAGCTTTGCAGTGCAGAGTTGCTCTTTTCCGACGTACTCTCAAGCAGTGGCAGGTTACGCATGAGCAGTGTGGTGGTCTCAGAGTAGTAGCCACGGATGTTCGTGTTCTGTTGGTGCACGTGCGCGCAGGTAAAAGGCTTATCAGTTCTAGATGCTGAACATGAGGCAGGCCACACCCAACCGACGGAGGAAAGACGGTGTGTGAGTTGGAATGATGCTGTGCTGAGCCAGGCTGCAAATAATGCCTTCGAGCGTGCGCTTGTGTTTTTGCACAAGATGCCGCGCATTTGGTTCTGGCCTCGGAATCTCTGTGAACTCATGGTCCGATTTCATGACGCATGCCGTCACGAGTAAGTCTCATTCGCATGGCAACATTCAACATACCCAATCGGTAATTTAGATGAAATCACCACCCCGAAGCCCACTCGACTCATGAGATCGCTTCAAATTGGGGAACATTGAGGCTAGAGTATATCGAGTTCTTGATGAAGCAGAAGAAGATCACACGTGCGCGACGTGCGCTAGACAGTGTGTGGGACTGAGCTGGCCTGGATTTCGTGCCGCTACATTCGACAACAGCTGCACGCGTGCGATGATTGTCTCAGGCATTGCGGTCGCTACCCATCACGCAGCATTCGCGAATATGGGTCGGCCCTAAGATTCGACGATATTGTCATTTCAAACTGGCAAACGCAGCCACCGCAGGAGCTGTACGTGAAGTTCATCAAGGATGGAGAAGTTCCCAAGGAGCAAAAATCCAGCACGGGATCGCGTTGAGATCGCACTTGGTTCCTGAAACGGTCTTCGAGATGTAAGCGTCTTTTCAGAAGAAGGTGCATGGAGTTCGCCTGCGCACCCGCGCTCATTTGCGTGTGAGTGAGATAAATCGAAGCACACTGTGCCACACATAGCGCTCCTGCCGCCATGCGTGCCTGATGCGGAGCAGCTTATGACACAGACACGGGCTTTGGTTTCGAGCGTGCCGGTATCGGCCGCCTGCAAAGGAGCAAGGCATGCTTCTGTTTAGGGAAGCCCGGATAGGCCCGGGACCCCCTCAAGCTTGAGGCTGACGCACCAGGTTTCGAGAAGCCTTGCAGGAGACGGCACTCTGTGCTTTCAGGCGGTACCTCATGCTGGAGCCTGATCATGTCGAGGCGACAGATGTGCAAATCCCCCACTGTGTAGTTCTCTGGAAGAGACCTTTGCAGATCTACATCGCCTACTTGCGAACAATTGGGTGCGCTTCCCGGTGTTGAAAATCCCTCGCAAGGTGGCAATGACAGCACATGCTGTGCAGGCGTTATGACGAGGCTGCACAGAAGCTCGCCAGTGTGGTAGATGATGAGGCACTCTCCCTACATCGGCCAGCTCGGCCCGGTGCCTGCCGGGCAAATCCGTGGCATCGCAGGACTTCAGCTCCATGGAGGGAAAGACTCGCCATCAACTTTGGATGGATCTCTGCGACCTTGCACCTGAGCTGCTTGAAGTTGCTACTAGAGAGCAAATCTCGATACTGTAGTTCTTGAGGTCTCCAAGCATCCCGCTGACATCAAGTCTCTAAACATCGAGCAGCTGCCCGAGCCAAACTCACGAAAGCTGAATCTTTTTGGATGGTCTTGTCCACAGGTCAATCATCCGCAGCGGCATTCGGCAATTTACTGACGAGGCACCCGGCAAAGGGCGCTTCGGGTGTATCACGGCATCTTGAAGTCGGTGCGGTGCACCTGACGAGGTGGGGCGACTGTGGATTTCTCTTGGAGATCACTTCATCAGGAAGGGCGCAGCGCAGAATGCTACGTTCAAGTGATGGAATCTTACAGTACTTGTTCAGCTGCAGAGTTGAGCCACGCGTGCCTTCTTGCTAGGACCTAGGCAGTTTGATCTCCCCATGGCAGGCTTGGACAGTTCGAGAAAGCCCGTGACATTTACGAGGAAGCCATGGCGACAGTCAGCACGGTCCGGCCGAGAGAGAAGCAGTGTGTTTCACCGATTTGGCATGCACACCCGGGACTTCAATGACATATATTGAAGTCATTTTGCCGGTATGCAGTGCTGACACTCTGTAGTGGTTCATGACAGGTGCATGACTTCTCCTTGATCTTCGAAGCGTGCCTTGGTTAGACAGACGCAGCACTAAGCTATCCAAGTTGAGAATTTGCAGCTCCGAATTCATTTGCTCTGAATTTCTGAACTATTCTGAAGATGTCAGCTGGTTTTGAAGCCGGGTCACCTGATGGATCAAAGTGCTGCTACTGGCTCGCGAGTTTGGGGAAGCTGCTTCAACGAGTTAGGAATCTTGGTTTTGGTGGCATACGGAAAAGCTATGACCAACAACCTATGACCTATTGCAGGGATTTCGTGTCAGACATAGCTGACCTGTGTGTTCTTAAGTCTGGTTCTAATTTTTGTGCACGATTGGTTGATCATATATCTAGATCTGGTGTTGAACATGGCTGTGTGTAGTGTTCATAGTTTCTGAATCCGTAGCAGACGATTTTCATCGACGGGGTTGCCTTGTTTCAGCACATGGATACATTTCTTTGCCCACTTTTGCGTAGGTCGAAGCGAGACTCTTGTTCCCGTGTTCCCGTATAACAATGATTGAATATATTAGTACGAGTAGGTAGCACCGTTGCTGCCACTGGTGCTGCTTCTTTTGCTGGTTTTGCTGCACACAGAGCATTCGTGCAAAGCCCATTATCTCAGTATGCGCTCCAGTGCACAAAACCGGATTTCGCAGTACCTCCACATTTTAACTTAACCAAGAAGCGGGTGGTGATTGATCACAACTGAACACTGAATGTGTAGTCCGAAACTGCTCACAACTCTATAACCAGTCTACAACTAGATGCGTGATGCTGCACGACTGCACTTCGGCAAAAGCCACTCGGAACCAGTGACCCCGCTTCATGCCACCATAAGTTGTTTTCTTAGATGTCCATGGCCAGGTATGCCAAATTCCTTGAGAGCTTGATCTCCGCTCACATGGAGCGGGAGGCATCGCTGGCCTAGGTGCTATACATGACTGTTTTTGTCCTTCGTGGGCATGCTGTGCAGGCTTCAACCGTCTCGGCTGCAGAAGCTGATCTGCTAATGCTGCGCTTGGAGGACTACTCGGAGGACCCTTTCCATCCGACTTGAGTGCCCAAGCTCAAGTGAGGACTTGCTGGGAAGAAGACCGGAGCTGGTGTCGCAACCTCCTGAGAATTTGGAGTGTGAAGATATTCAAGCTCAAGGAGGCTGCCACCAGCCTTCGCTGTCCTGTTCTGCTGTAGCCAATTGAGCAGGAGTTTTGTGTTGAGATTGCGTGACATGTGAGTCATTATACATCTGCTAAGTCCTCCAGAAGAGCTTCTAGTTCATGTTTTTTCCGGCATGTGAGGTCGGTCAAGTTGCGGCAGAATCCTCACAACGTGCATGAGTGGCTGCAGCGCGCAAAGTTGTACAAGGACCCATGCATTACGTTGGGCATCGGAGAGTTTGTGCAGGCAAGGTCATGTTGGATTGCGCTGCTCAGGACTCGCCCGAGAAGGTCATTCGCTGCTTCACGGAGGCCGTCCGGGGCCTGGCACTGTCGGCTCTTGGTTACAGCAAGTGTGCCTTCCTCTGTACTGAGCGGCGTGAAGTCTAAGTGCCGAGGTAATGACGGTGGAGCCCCAGAAAGCCGAAGGTCGCCTCTGGACCTTGTGGGCAGCTTTCGCCAAGGCCTGCAGCCTGCAATGGTCCTGCAACGTGTACTCCGGCATGCCGCATGTCTTATCATCTTGACCATCATCCCGTTTGCAGTTCTACGAGTCGCACGATGACTTGGAGAATGCTCGTGTGATTTTTTCAAAAGTCGCCCACTCAAGCTGTCCACGCCGCGAGATTGTATCATGTATCGTCCCATGGTTAAAGGCCACACAGGTGAAGTATCGGGGGGTCGATGACCTTGCCTCCGTCCTGACCCAAGTTCAACGCAGCACTTTGAATGGAGCGGACGGCCCACAGATAAGGTATGGTGCGAGTGGATTGAGATGGAGCTGCGTCACAAAGAGTTCGACGAAGCACTCAAGGTGGGTGCTGCTTACAGTGCAGAACCTGCCGCAGTATCTACCGACTCACCCAGCCCGAACCATCATGCAGGTGGCAAGGCAAGCCGCCGGTCAGAAGAAGGCTGCAGCCTTGAAAGAAGACAAGGCTCGATATCGATCAAGCCTGGGGAAAACTGCTTGTCTAACTTACTTGCCTTGCGAGGACGATGTCCAGAATCGGCTGTACCGCTCGACCAAGTTGTGGTCACTCTGCATAGACCTTGAAGAGTACAGGCCTCAGCAAATGATTCATTCAATGCTTCCAACGAGAAGACCTGGCCATCCAGGTCGCTTGGGACCACAGCTTCAACCAGGGTCCGTGCCTGAAAGCCGTACCTCTTCTCCCACGCTTCTTTCACTGCTCGTGCAATCTCGAAGGCAGCATACGATGCGACTCTGGAGCTCAAGGCACTTCATCGGGTGTTGTGCTTCTTTAGCAGCAATCTTGTGGAGGCTTCGGTTTGCAGTCACTCCTGCCAGGGCATCTACAGCAGTGCTCCCGTAGGGTGAGAAGGAGAGAGGGACAGAGAGAGAGAGCTGGCGCGGTGCAGGGGGAAATTCCCTACACCATAGCCTTGGCGAAAGAAAGAGAGCTGGCCATCGTGGGATTGCCCATGGTCTATGCCCCAAGCCAAGCTAAGCAGAGAGAGAGAGAGAGAGAGACAGAGCTATTGGCTGTGTCGAAGAAGAGAGAGCGCGAGAGCGATAGAAAGGAGAGGAAGACAACTATAAGTATAAGTACAAGTACAGGTATAAGTTCAAGTAGAAGTATCAATAGGACTTATAAGTATAAGTATAAGTATAAATATATGTATGTATGTATGCATGTATGTATGTATGTATGTATTTTGTATCATAGTGTATTCATACTCTGTCTTATTGCATATCATTCGTATTCTCTTACAGGCAACTTTCTAGACCGAGACCGGAGTCTGGCTCTTTTAAGCTTAGTGTTGCTGCAGGGGGTGCTGTAAATCACAGTATGCATCCATGAGATGCTGATCTTTGGATTGTCCATGCTTATCGCATCGCGAAGACCTCTTTGCGGCGGTTGAAGAAGTATGTATGAGAGAGCGCGAGAGATTGAGAGAGAGAGAGAGAGAGAGAGAGAGAGAGAGAGAGAGAGAGAGAGCGAGGGAGGGAGGGAAGGAGTTGCCATTTTGGCTCAAGGAGCTTACAGCGTCTCCGAGGACGACCCGCTGGACGCCAGCTCAAGGGGGGGCTGCGGAAGTGAAGGTTGCCTGATTGTGCCTCTGGGAACTTCCATCCCCGGGTCCTCCGTTAAAATAACTAAAGTTGAGCCTCGCACCGAGCCCGCGCACTAACCGCAGAGGGCAAGTTTGCAGCTCTACAACGGTGCCGGTGACCTCGTGACTGCACGGTCTTCGTCCATAGCCGTATTGCTCGGGGGGAGACAGTTCGTGACCAACCGCCTTCTCATCAGGTTGTTCCCGCTTCGCAACGCGTACAACCTGACTGGGTGGGGGACTTTGTCATCTCAGAGATCGTGACTGTGGCAGGAAGGACGACATATTGCAGCACAGCCTACACGATGGCCGCACGGAGGGGGAAGGAATGCAAAATCTGCAGGTATGGAGGGGGAATATGCCAGTTTTCGCAAAACCCACGTACGGGAAGACCCGCAGTGCAGGCTTCATGGTCAGACGGGGAGGTGCACCAGAACCACAACACAACCGCCATCACCGCCACGCCCACCAATAGATGTGGAGCAGCCTCCGGAGGTTACCCTAGACCAGAAGACCCAGTTTGTCACACCAGGGGGCTGCGCGTACTCTACAACCCGGAGGACCTCGACAGATGGATACACATGAAAGTTGTGCCCCGCGACGGGGGGGGATACAAAGACAGCCAGACGGGGGAGGCCCTCAGCAAAGAGGACGAAGCGAGCTATATACGGTACCAGCAACGGCTGTGCGACACGTACCGAGTGGGGGAACAAGCAGACCGACTACATGCCCAAGATAGCAGACGATAGCAGAGCGTAAGTGATGCGCTACCCGAACCAGTTGGCGGCGATGCTAAAAAAGGCAGGGAAAATACGACGGAGGATGCGCGCAAACCGAAAGGGGGAGCGCAAACTCCGGCAGAGAAGGGACACCTCAGCTACACCGGAGTCCGCCAACAAGGCGACGGGGGGCGGGGGACGACGCGCGCTGAGACTTCGAACATGGTGGGGGAGCTGCCGGCAGCGCAGGTGGAAAAAGAAGCCACTATCTCAGAGGATACACCGCCAGACTGGGGAGACAACGACGACGACCTCGAGAGCCCAGCAAGCACAGTGCAGGAGGAACAGCGGGGAGATGGCGGCCAAAGCCACCATCGGACAGAGGCTGCAGTTCTGGAAGGTTGGCTGAAAAGCCAAGTGAACCCGCGGGGGGACTGCCGAGGAGAGGATCTCAGCCAACCACAACCACACCGAAGCCCAGCGAGCCTGCAGAGGAACCACCGAGGCGAAGTTCGCAGCCGTCAAGACGTTAAGACCGAGTGATGCGGTGGGGGAACAACGAGCAAGACGTCCGGCGTGAACGTTGTACCCAGCCTTAGCTAGCAAGTTCGACAGGTGCAAGCACACATGTCAAGACAGCGGAACGAGCCGACAAGAAGGCCGAGTACTGAAGAGAAGTGAGCGCTGAGGGGAAAGTTTTGCCGCAGTTTCAGTGTCTTTTGGAAGGGATGGCACCGATGGCCTTCTTGTTGTGTACTTTTTCGGATTTTGTCTTAAGCTTTTCTGGGGGAGCCATTGCTTCAACGTTTTCTGCAATCCTCAGTCACGCTTGCATATGCCAGGCATAATTGGACGGGCCGCTGAGCCAATTCCACTACGTTCGCCTGGGACGCTTTCTCGTCTCCTGAGCCCAAACACTCAGCATCCAGCTTTGACCTACGGTTGACTCACGGGGGAACCCGCCTGTCGTCGTGACCTGCATGGTTCTGGTCTTAGTTGTTGGTTTACTCGGAAAAAGGCGGGGGAGCCATCGTACACCAACCGAGATGTTTTTGTGCGGGGGGAGTGTGCTTGGCGAGGGACCAAGGATAGTGCTATAGTGAGCGCGGGGACGAGGCCGGGATGCGGGCTAAAGTGCAGGGAAGGTGGGTTTCCTACCAGGCACCGCACACTCTGCCGGCCATACCAACCTTGGCAAGCAAACCCGACCTCTGACACCAAAGCCCTGTTCCACCGCAAAACGGGAAATGGGCCCAGGCCCGCGTGCGGACTCAACCCCAATGGAAGGAAGGAAAGAGAGGGAGAGAGAGAGAGAGAGACAGAGAGGGACAGAGAGTAGCCATTTTGGCTCACGTGCTGCACCTTTGTGGAGGGGCCTGTTCAGCCCTTCTGCATCGGGGGGGAGGTGCGGGGTTGCCTTGGGGCTGTGCCCCCCGAAGGAGCTCCCAGCAGTGCTTGAGTCCACATACCCGTTGCCGCTTAAGGGACCTTGCTAGGGTGGGCTTTCGCCATAACCAAGCAGGGCAAGTTTGCAGCACTACACCCGTGAAGGAGGCGTTTGGCACAAAGCACAGTGACGGGTCCCTGACCCAGCCCGCGCTCTAGGAGCGCAGAAGTGCTTCGAAGTTTCTACGCAATGTGGCATCGCAGTTTTACTTCACAGTTTTCACAGCTTTCACAGTTTTGGTGTCCTTGCTGGTGTTCCCTCCCCGTAAGTTTTTTCCTAGATCTTTTAAGCGCGCCATGGCCGACGCTGCCATGGCCAAGAAAGAGGAGCAGGAGTCTCAAGACGCTCCCGCGCTGGAGAACACGGAGGTGCCCGGCGCACCCAGCGTGCCGGCACCAGCCGGACCCACGCCACCGCAGTTACCGCAGTTGGCGCCACGATCAAGTGGCGCAGAGATTGCCCAAGACGAGCTGGCACAGTTTAGAGAATGGCAAAAGCAACGCGCGGAGGCCAAAGCAAAAGCCTCGCCAGACTCCCCGCCAAAGAAGCAGAGGACAGACGATGAAGAAGACATGGCAGAGTTTGAGGTGAAGCTTGTGGACCTCGACATCAACTTTGCGGACCTGGACCCAGAACTGCAGAACAAACTTAGGAGCAGTAAGAGCTCCAGACGAGATTTTCTGGCAATCCATACTACGGACAGGCTCTACAATCCTACAGATGGCACGTGGTCTGAACAGACCACCACAAAGAAGCGAGACTTTGGAAGTATCACGGAAAGATCCATGCCAAACCTGACGGCCGAGGACAATGTGCAGCAAACCATGTTGCAGTACCACCAGAAGAGTATTCTTCCCTCCCTGGATCAACTACAAATGTGCTGCGATCAGTTCTACAAGATGGCACAACACGAGTTTGCGATGACACAGTATACTCTGGATCGGCACTCCAGCCAGCTGCAAGTGTTGGAGCGTGCCAGGGCAAACAAAACTATACTTTTGCTGGATTTACCTACGATTTTCAACAAGAAGACTTTGGATGCAAATGTTGGGTATTATCTACAAGCCGCCGGCCTAGACTGGGACCAGGTGGCAGCAGTGCACAATCACATGGTTTCTTCAGCCTCTTCATTGGTTCGCCTGGAATTTATTACAGAGAAACAAGCTGCCCAATTCAGGGACACGATGCGACAAGGTCGCCGATACTGGCGCGACCCCCAGCAGCAAGACCACAAGATCAGGATTGAGCATTACCAGCCACTGGAAGACAGATTGGCTATGCAACCATATTATGCTTTGCTTGACGTGCTCGCCGAGCTTTATGTGGAAGAAACTGGAGACGACTCACATGCCTCGCTGCAGACCTGGAGGCAGACACTGCAGATATGGACCCCGAAAGGGGTGGAGCCCAAACAACTTCTGGGGCAAGTGAGCTACGTGCTCGACCCCCGCTTTGCGCGCCGCTATTCCTGCTTGCTTTTGGTACACGACCGTTTCTATGATGCAACCTTGACCAGATGGCATGCAAAATTTTCGAGGAGACTTCGGGATACCTTATTTCTGGCACAGGCGCTCAAGCGCGCCACTTCTGACCGCACGACTGTGCAAAGAGCATCCTACGACAAGGCCTTCGACCTCACCACCGCCTCCCACGCCCAGGCTTTTCCTTACACGGTGATGCCGGTACGCATTTCGGATGATCTAGCCTCTATGCTCGAGTCTCACCCCATGCTGCCTTTTCAAGGCGCCGGCGGTATGACCGCCTTGACGGCCCAGGCTTTCTTAGATCAGGGTTTTGAGGATTACGGCAAAGGGTCCCTTAGGGCTAAGGGAGCTGGAAAAGGTAAGCCCCAAACCAAAACCCGAAATGATCGCCAGGACCAATGGACACCCCAGATGGGTAAAGGCAGCAGCCACCGATCTTCGTACCAAGGATGGTCCTAGAAATCCGGATGGTCTGATTATAGCACTTATCAGAAGCCGAAAGACAAAGGACAGGCCAAGGGCCAATGGAAGGAACGCGACCATGATGCCAGAACCAATTGGAAGAAGGACGACGACCAGGACAACAATGATAGTTGGGGCTCCTGGGGATCAG